CAGGGAAACGTACCGCCGCTCCGAGCTGCTCCTGCCCCACGGCCACGGCCTGGACGCCTCCGCGCTGGCCGATAACCTGGGCCTGCACGACATGGCTCACCAGATGGAGGAGGTGCAGGTAAGGCCCCCCCGCGCGTCGCGGCAGGCGGGGGACAGGCGCTCCGCTGCGTCCCCTGCCGCACATCCCTTCCCCTTCACTTGCCCCGTCCGTGGAGCGAAACGCGCCTTTTTGCCCCTTCTGCCCTTAAAAAAGGGGGTGCGCGGGGAGGGGGTGGGTTTCCCAAAAGGCCCTGACCCCTTCCCTCTCGGCTTTTCAAGGTGCGAAACTTTCTCCCCTTTCTCTTTCCAGAATGTGGAAGATCAACACTTATTAATGCATGACCAGACGGTCATTAGAAAAGGTCAGTAAGGTGGCACTGCAGTTTACTTTCCCTTGTCAATAGTTAAAGTTTAATAATGACGCACCGGTGAATTGACGCCTTATTATCTTTTAAAAGACGGATCCTTTCGGATGGGGAGGGCGCAGGAGTTTTTCTGACATTCTCCGTCGCGGCATTTTTCTAACGCCATCCGAGGGAAGGTGGTGGCGGGGACAAACCCCCGGGGCTGCCCCGGCCCGGCGGCGAGTCCGGGCTGCGAGACTCCTCCGGGGTGCTCGCGGGGGCTCTAATCGAAACCAGGACCTTGGACTGATGCTGCCCTGGAATACGCGTGTGTAAAGTGACACCGGGAGCTTTTTTTTGTGTAGGGTTGTTGGTTTTTTTTTTCGGTTGGGTTTGGGTTTTTTTTGTTGTTGCTAGCACTCGAAGAACAGTTTGGGTTCTTTTTTCCTTCAACTTCTTTATAAGAGTTGAGAAGGGAATGAGTTCACTGGCATAAGCCTGCTCCGCTTTATCCTAATCGAAATGGTTCTGTAGCTGAAGTTTTAAGGAAGGAGAAAGACGTATTGAGTCAATTTACAGTCATTTAGGGATTTTTTTTCCCTGCTTTTGTTTTTAAACAAATTTGTGCTTAAAAAAAAAATCAGTGGAAGTTTCCTCTGAAGACTTCAAACAAATACCTAACTGAGGAAAAGCAGAAGTGTTTGTCAGAGCGCTGATTACTGCCTTTAGCTCATGGGAGAATAATTTCGCTGTCAGATGCACCACTGAAAAATCTTTCCCCCTCCGGGGAGCGGGACCGACCTCGGCTCTTTAACCCTTTCCGACCGGTGCTGTGAGCCGGCAGCACACCACTGGGGGTTAACTGGGTGGATTCGCAAGGGAATGGAAAAGCTGGATCTGCGGTTTGCTGCTTGCAAAGCCTTTGTTGTCCCTATTCACCTAAAGGCTGAAGCCATTAACGAGCAACGTTTTACTTTCGGTTCTCTTCTGGGCTGCATCCCTCCCTCTGTTGTACTGTCTGAATTTGTTGGGATTAAATTCCAAAGGCGGTTTCTTAAATCCGCGTGTGCGAGGTGGAAGATGAACCCCAGGAGGAGCTGGGAGGCGGCTTCTCTCTGCCCCGGCTCAGAAAGTTTTTGGCAGTAGCTGAAGGATGCTAATTTGGAGTCTGTAGTTGTATCGGGCTTTTTATAAGCATGGATTTGCTAATTTGCAGCATGCTGCTTCAGAGATGTGTTTTTTTGTTCGTTATTAAAAAGTATTCTTAGTTGTGTGCGGCAGCTCCTTGAAATTTAGTGTGGCAAAAGAAAGCTCTTCAGGAATAGTTGCGGGTATCTCTTGCTTGCAGCCCAGCCCTGTGTTGCAGAGAGATGCTGGGGACTGAGGTCAGTGGTGTGAGCATTTAATGCAAAACGAAATCCTGTCTCCCGGCCTTTTTTTTTTTTTTTTTTTTGTAGAAAGCAAATTCACTTGCCACTGCCTATTTATTTTTCCCTTTTATGAAATACCTGCTTTCCCTCCTCCTCCCGCAGGTCCCATTTCCTTAACGAAAAACAGTGCTCTGAGTCTCCCCTGCCAAAAGGATGGATTAATTGGAGTGGTCATAAACCCCAATGAAGTATTTTGTTCGGTTCCGGGGAGACTTTCCCTCCTCAGCTCCACGTCGAAATACAAAGTGACAGTAGCAGAGGTGCAGAGGCGGCTCTCGCCCCCCGAGTGTCTCAATGCCTCTTTGCTAGGAGGAGTACTCAGAAGGTAGGCTGCGACTCCCCTTGCATCGTGTCTATTGTGATTATTTTTTTATTGTGCTTGTGTGTGTGTGCAGGCAGATTAGCATAGCGAGGAGCTAAGAAAGCTTTTTTAGCAAATTTCTGATTTTTAAGAAGCCCGACAACACTGAATCCTAATAGGCTTTGGAAATAAAACTTCTTTGCACTTCTGCTACTTCTCGGGAAGTGCTATTAACAGCTCTGACAGCAATTCTCATTCTCTGTTTAAAGTTGGGATTTTTTGTTTCAAAAACGGCTCATGGAGCTTTCTTACTCCTGTGACAAACAGCCTATGGAATGATTTTTGGATTAAATCTTGTGGTCTTGATTAATCATTTCAAAGATACTTTATATGCCCTTCTTTACATACACTTAATTCAGCTTGTGATCATTCTACAGCTGTTGGTTTTGATTGTGCAGTTTGAAACATTTTGATTTTGACCTCTGCTGTTTTCCATCCTGGCTGGTTTGTAGTAGAGCCTTTAAAAAGTAGGTCACTTGAAAAGAGCCTGGTTTTTATCTCCCCCCCCCAGTAGAGAACCCTATTGAATGTCAGTAACTGGAATTTCTCATCTTTAAAAAGAAGTGTTCCCTGAAGATAAATAAGGCCATTTATTTTTTTCTTTTTAATTACAGAGCCAAATCTAAAAATGGTGGCAGATCATTAAGGGAAAAACTGGATAAAATTGGCTTGAATCTTCCTGCTGGTAGAAGGAAAGCTGCAAATGTGACGCTATTGACATCTTTGGTAGAAGGTCAGTCTTGAATGTTTCTTAAAAATAAACTTTTTTTTTTTTCTTTTTCCCTTTGTGTACAAGCTTTTAGCCTCTAGGCAAAGCGTGGAAAGGCTAGAAAGTCACTGAACATAATAGAGAGGTTTTTTGTTTGTTTTTAAGTGAGCATGATGGGGACATTGCAGCAACTAACAGTTGTGTTGCCTTTGAGGGACTTCTCTCCCCTTTTTCTCCCTTCAAATCTGATCCTTAAGCCCTTGTCCTCAGAGCCCTTCCCGCACAAACCCAGCTAATACCCCTCTACCTCGGGGCTGCATCGCAGGGATGCTGGCAGGGATACAGGAACTTCTACATGCCAAGATGTTCAAAATGCACGTTTGTCCGGTGTGTGTTTCTTGAGGGGGTGGGTTCTTTTGGGTTTTGGAAGGGTGTGTGCAGGGACAGGCAGGGAAGGCAGAAGGGGTGAAACTCATCACATGAGTGGGCTTGGTTCCTTACTGGGAAACTTTAAAAGTCTGGGGCAGCTCAATCCAATGCCTGCCCTACCTCAGCGGTATCCTCAGAAGCTTTTCTAATAAACAAGCATATAAAGTGAGATTTATAGCTTTTGACTTCCTGATAGGAAACTGGAGCCCCTTTAATCTGTAGCATGTTATGTGGACCCCTCTATCAGCTAAGCTGACTTGAAGGGTGTGTATATATATGTATGTGTGTGGTTATGTTTTGTGTTTCCGTTTAAAGCAGCTCCTGGTAGTGGTACAATTTAATAGGAATAGAAACAGCAGTGGAAAAGTGAAAAATGATCTAACAATACCTTACTGCTGTTTCACTTCTACATCAGCTCAAGTAATACAGTCACTTCATTTAAAACCTTTATTTGTAAGTTGAGTTTAAGAGAGTTTATGCATGTGCACATGCACACATGTACATATACAGGTCACGTACATGGCACTGATCGTGCCAATTCACTTTTTTAAGCCTGATCAGACTGCTTTAATGAAAAAAAAGAAGTTGTACATCGTACAATTTTATTTTCTGCATGAAAATGCTTATTAGAAAGTATTTAGAAAACACACTAAACTGATAAACCCTTTAAGTGGAATTCAGTTGCCAGGTTTTTTTAGTGTTTTTGGACAGTTTCATCTAGACTGAATTCTAATCTTTGCTGCACAGTTAATCTGGATAGAGACAAGAGTTTTTCTTTCTAGTGTAAAGGCAAGAATTATTTTTTGTAGTAGTCACCATGTAGGTCTTTTTTTCTTGATGCAAGCATACAAAGCAACGTTGATCTATTAGAAGATGCTCATGAGTGGTATAGTGGTAACATAGCAGTGTCCCTTTCTGAAACAGGAATACACTTGAAAAATTCACAGCACCTTCCCTGATCTCCTTATAAATAGATACTACTACATTGAATAAGCGTTCCCTTTTACTCACGGCAGGTGAAGCTGTACATCTTGCTCGTGACTTTGGTTATGTATGCGAGACAGAGTTTCCTTCCAAAGCAGTGGCTGAATATTTAACTCGACCACACATGGGCCGCAATGAAATGGCAAACAGGAAGAATATGCTTCTTGCTGCAAAGTAAGTTTTGGGCTTGGATTTCTTCTTTCTTTTTAAAGATGCCTTTGTCTGACCATGAGTATCTGTGACTGTGGACAGTTGGTATGTTTTCATGTGTAATTTTAATCAGGGAGGTGAAGCAATCTTTTTTATTTGGTTTTGGTTTGAATTCAACTATGGCAGCAGTTATTTCAGTCTGAACCAATAATAATAATAATAACAACAACCACCACTGTCACCCTGTATGATGACTCTAAAGCCTTAACTGTAGTAAAAACTTATAAAAAAGTTCTATAGTGGGACATTTATATTTCTTAAGCAAAAGATGTCTTTAGGTCTGACAGGGTTGAGAACCCAGAGGGCAGATGTGGCTGGGGAATGTGAACCAGTGTCGGGACTGGGAGCAGGAGATGGTTCACCCACCTCTGCATACGTGCGGCCCAGAGGGGCACCTCGGGGAGAGTTACTGAGGATGTGCAGGGTGCAAGGGAAGCTCTGCTGCCATGTCCTTGTAACAGCTTCACTGCTTTTGGCAAATAGCAGCTTGCAGGTTTCGCCCATGGGACACTAGGGGTCAAGAACTGTGGATAGTCCCTTTTCGCAATTATGGCTGCAGATTTTTGTAGTTCAGTGGCAGCCAACCTTTGAAAGTTGTGAAAAGTCCCTGTACTTAAGTAAATTCCTATTACAAACTCTGATGACCAGGGGAAGGAAGGGTAAAGGAGAGAAGCTTTGTTATGGCTGTTCTGCAGCCTCTTGTACCTGTAAGTACAGCACATAGTGAACTGGCCTCTGGTAGGAAATATCTCCATTGAGTTATGCTTAAACCAGTAGTTTAAGTGCTTGCTCCCCCTTTACCCCCACCCTGGCCTTCCCAGGCTGAGGTTTAACAAAGCCTCCGGTTCATGATCTGGTCTGGTCTGGTCTGTTTTCTGGTTTGGGGTCCATGTAATTCCTTGCTTTTGAAAGCACTCTCGCTCTGCAGAGGATCTGAGAAGCCTGCTTAAACTGCTGAGAAGAGTTGCCCTGACTTTGGGCTCAGATCTGGCGTGCCAAACACGCTCCTCCTGTTGCTGAATTAATCCAGCCTTCCAGAAAGAGAGACCTTTTTTTTACAAGAATATCTCTCTTATAAATTTAGAATAGTTGCTCTTTCCTAGAGCTTAAACCTTATGCTTTTTACTGAGCACTACTCCTGCTTTTCAGTGTTTTCATTACTGGTACTGTTATTGTCACTAATAACAGTAATCTTACGGAAAATGTTTGTGATTGAGAAATTCTGATTCTGTTAAGATTGCTCAGCTCCTGTGAAATCCCATCAAGGGGACAGATTTACAAGTAGCAAACAACATATGCTTGAGCATTATTAACTGTTCATGTTTTGCCAGGCATATGTGTTAGCATTTGCAGGATCAGAGCCCAGGTCTCTCTTAAAGAGGGCATATACATATAATGCACGACTAAACTGAATCTCCTATTCAGCTGGTTTAGTATTTCTAAATCATTTAACTGCAGCTGTGGAAGTTCTCATAGAAACTAGCCCTAGATTCACACTCCCCCCCCTTAAACTCTAGAGCAAATGATGCAGACCCAGACAGATACCAGAGGTGGAGAGAGTATTTTGCAGAGTGTGTATGTGTTTTTGTGACAGATAGGACAAAGTTCATCAGAAACTAGTGCTAATAAATAGGCTTTAATTTTAGACAGTGCTGCTGCTGGAGTAATGAATTTCTGAACGCTCTTAATTCCCCACATAACTGCCAGATATTTGATACAGACTTTCTCTGTTATTTATTTATTTGCTTTTGCATAAATTCCCACCATGGTGTAAAGGGTGATCACTTTGTGTCTTGCAGGCAGATTTGTAAGGAATTCACAGACCTCCTCACTCAGGACAGAACTCCTCTTGGAAACACGAGACCTAGTCCCATCTTGGACCCTGGCATCCAGGGCTGTTTGACTCATTTTAGTCTGATCACACATGGCTTTGGGAGTGCTGCCATCTGCGCTGCCATGACATCCGTCCAGAACTACCTAAATGAAGCATTAAAAATAGCAGACAAAACATACATGAACGCTGGCGACCAGAGCCCTGCAGAAACCAACAAAACCATTGATAAAATGGATAAGCACAGGAAGTAAAAGGAGAGAAACCAGACTTTAAACTCTTCCTCCTAAACACAGACTGGGATCTTCTTGCCAGGGGGAATATAGAGATTTGGGTTCTTGTTCTTTTTTGTTGTTGTTGTTGGGTTGTTTTTGTTGTTTTTTTTTAAAGAAAGGAGGGGAAAAAAGGAAAAAAAATCAGTCTTATTCAGGATCTTCACTCCCCCTGGATCCATGAGACAAATCTTTCTAAAAGCTGCAGTATCCCTTATCTGTGGAAACAGTTACCCAGAAGATAAGTACTTGGTACAAGTGTATTGAAATCCTTTGCTGTAAAAGTGGTGCTATAAAGGGGTTTTGATGGAAATATATAAAGAGATATATTTAGATTTCTCTTCAACATCTAAGTATCTAGTGGTGACCAGCTTCATGTATAATTTTTAAGATACAGATTTTAGATGGAAGCCTGTTTGTTATCCAGTACGATTTCAGGGTTTTATTCTCTCTAAATGCAACAGTAACAATAAAGCAGTATTAAACAATGGTATATAAATTTATGTACATTAAAATTTTTTTTATAAACACCTGGAAACAGTTAAGATTATTCTGCGGGTTGTGTTTTTTATTTGTTGGTTTTGTTTTTTTTTTTCTTTTTTTCCAAATTACCATAGGAAAGTACTAAAATCCCACTAGACTTCAAAGTTATCTGATGGCATTTGACATGCTTATTTTTATGGAAATATTCAGGCTTTTCAAAACTGCAGTAATAATGGCTGCAGTGAATATTATCTTGATATTTTTTTTAACAAGGAATAGTTCAAAATGCAAATGCTATTAGAAAATTCACTTTCTGTGTCTAAGGATATTGCAGCTTTATTCACATATTTATGTTGTTTTTAAATTGGGGGGGAAAACTTGAAAGAATAGGCACATAGCTTTTTTTTTTTTTTTTTGCCTATTGAGGCCAAAAAAATATTTCCAGGGAGGCTTTATGTGTATTAAGGGAAGCAGTGTGTTTGAATGTAAATATTTATTTATGTGTAATTTAATCGGATTTGTAAATAATGGTGAACTTTTTAATACTTTTTTTTTTTATAAATGGGTTTCAAATTTTAATTTTGGTAAGTATTTCAAAGGTAATGGGTAAGCTAAACATATCTTTAGGTTTATGCACAGGTATGTTATACAGGGTATTTAAGACTTTTTTAAAAAAAATCTCAATTCTTGCCACTGAAGATTAAATCTAATCTGAGGTGTATGTTCACAAAGCAATAATTTTGTGCATCATTCACCTAATAACTGACTAGACATGCAAAATGAGTGTGTGAGTTAGTGTGTATGTGAATAATGGAGGTTCTGAACTATCTTTACATATTTGTAAATGTTCCCAATATAATTCTGATGTATATGATAACCATATAATAAAAGTATTCTGGATAGAAGCATGGAATGTTTTGTTAACTGAAACCAGTTTTGTTTTCTTTCTATACTTTGGGAATGTGGGGCGAGTAGCACTAGAGGACATTATGTATTGAGTCATAATTGCAGCACTTTGTTCGGATTAACAGAACAGAAATATGAAGCTGTTTGCCAGTAAAACTAATGGTTTCAATTAAACACATTATGTATCTCCAAGAATTCTTTTTTTCTTCCCAAGATGTCATTATCATGCTAGCTGCCTATTTAAATAGGCAGCTTAAATACAAACTGCAAGGCTTCCTCTAAATAAAAGTCAGTCCTTCCGACTTTGTCTTCTAATGAATCTGACTTTGTTAGAATAATCTGTCTCTAATGACAAATATTTGCAAAATCCTAGCATGTGAAATTCGATAGGTCTCCCATCTGGTTTCAGCCCAATTTTACTGATTTGAGGAAGTCTACATCATTTTGCAGCAAGTCCCCAAAGTACTCTGCGGCAGCAGAGAGGCAGGATCTGAGGCTTTCTGTGGCACTCCGTGTTCTCAGATGCAAAATAGCTAAACAAAACTTCCTGAAGATAAACCTTTTTTTTTTTTTTTTTTTTTTTTCTTCAGTGCTATCTGAAAAAGGAACAACATGAACCTGGGCTTTAGTCTGTCCTTGGCACTTCAACACCTGATCAATCCGTCAGGCATGTGGCTAGGGCAAACATGAACAGTGACACTGGACATGACCGCGAGTAAGAATTTGGTTGATACCATGGCAGTGTTTCACAGGTGTGGACAAGAGGCAATATGTATAATTTGTGAATACGTAGTTTATAATTCTTTTTACGTTACCCTTATTTTTCCTCTAAATGGTAAAGTCAAACTACTGAAGGTGGAGGGAGAAGAAAGAAAGGGGTAGCTCAAAGGGTGGTGAGCTGCGAGAAGGCTGCAGTCCAGTCCCCTCTCCTAAGGGGGTGTGAAATTCCAGTCTTTGCATTTGTTGGGCTCGCTGTAGCGTTTGAGAAGTAAGAATTTTGGACCATCTGTAGACACAAGCTTAGCCAGGACACCTGATAACTTCTAAAATGTACAAACAATATTTATTGTATGTACACACAAATACACTAGGTATTGTAAAATCTTGTTCAGACAATGTGATGCTAGAGTTCTGGGTTTCCCTTCTGTTTCTGCTGCTGGACTGCTTTTATACAGCATATAAGATTTTATCTAACAGAAAATGGAATCTTGCTTTTTATTAATGCACAAAACCAGGCTCTGAAATAATTGCCCCTTGGGATAGGAAATAAGGATGTTTCCATTTATCTCTGTGTGCACTCAAGCAAAGCCAGTCAATTGTCAAATGTACTGACTTGGGTTCTATTTACATTTGGAACATTAGAAATGTTGAGTCTCCGTTACCTTAATGCTTTTCCTTTACTGTATGTTTTAGATGGTACATGATTTTGAGGCTCAGCTACTTTATAAGTTGTGCTAGTAACATGAAACGAACAATGTCTTCTGCTCCATTCACCGAGAACAGTTAAACTCTGACCTGACCTTGTCTGTCATCTAAAGTTATCTTATGGAAAATGTAATAGGTTAGTAACTTCTTGGGAAACCTGCAAAGCACTGAGTTATCTGAAGACACAGAAGGGTATTTTTTTGCTGATCCTCAAATTTCATGATTTATATTGCTTTTGCATAGGCTATTCCCAGCTGGTTTAAAAAAAAGTTCCAGTGTAAGACTCCTCTGAAGTTCCACTTTTCATTTCCTTTGAAAATGGAATATTCATATGACACTGTCCAGTCTTGCCCCTTGCCTTCTCCCAGAAAAAAAATGGGGTTGGCCTTTATATAAGGGAAAATGACTTGGATTTAAAAGTAAAAATCCTGAAGTTGAAACGGATCATTTTAAGTATTGCCCTTCCGCAAAAAATTTATTTGACACGTATCCACAAAATAGTTGAATTCATGTCACTTAGTATAAAAAGGGCTGGTGGAAAAAGAAAAATATTTCAACCATCTCTCACTTGTCCATCAGGAGCAGCTGAGCAGCAGAGGATGGTAGAGTGGGGTCTTCCCAGGCAGCAGTGCTGCTTCCTACACCTGTGGCAGCTGAGGGCTTGGCCTTTGCAGCGCTCTCACCTGACACGCAACCTGATAGTTACAGATTATTAATTGCAAACCTGATGATAACTCAAGACTCTGGCTCATGAAATCATCTGACTTCATGGCACTGTTGCTTTCAGTTTAAAAATTTTTTTTTTCTAGTGTTCACAGCCTCAGAGAGAAATGATGATGCAAAACTAGTAATATATAAGAAAACAAAGAAAAAGAATGAACTGTCTTAATTTAGTAACTGATTTCAGTTAACCATTTCTGACTGGTTTTGCTTTACCTTTCACTTGTTTCACTGTTATTTACAAATGGTACATTTGCTCTGCCTCTTGGCTACAGCCCTATTGCTGTCAGTTCCTCTGCTCCCTCAGACTTTTGCAATCGGAATAAACCCAGCAATACATCTTGAGATGGGGCTAGCTCGCTGTGATAGCTTGCTGTGCTTATTTGTCGTAGCCCTTCTCTATTTTTTCCCACATGTGATGTTTAGGTACAGCCTCATAGTTACTTCAGCCTAATGGTGTGCAGCCTCAGTCCTGGCAGTGGGCTTGGGCTGCCTTCTGGGACACATTCTGCAAGAAACGCTTTATTTTTTAAAGAATTATTTTATTTATATTTTTTAAAAGAAAAAAAATAGGGTGCTGTTAAGATTTTTGTCCCCAAACTGTTGTTTCACTAAGAACGTTATGAGGTTAGGGAGAAAGATGCTTCCCTCTCACTAAAAGAACCCCCCCAAAAGTATAACACGTTTCTGTTCATGGACATTTGCAGGTTTTTGTACCAGCAACCTGGAGCCAGTTTTGCCAAGCGCTTTAGGGTCGCATTGGGATTGTGACCCCAGGCCTGGTGGTGAGCCACAGGAAATGCATATGGAACCATGCAAATGAGAATTCGTTCCTAAACCCTGGCTGCAGCCAGAGATACCGTGCCTTTGAAAAATCTGTGCGTTATCCAAACCAGTTGTGGTCTGTCATAACATTTCTATGGTGCTCGGCTATTGCTGCTGGCTATTTCTTAATGTCCCATTATCCATGTAGCTGCATGGATGACCATCTATAGAAATTACCCAGGGCCTACGCTGGAACCGTATTTTTAAACAAATTGTTAATTCTGTCCTGTATCATTTGCTGCCTTCTTCCTCTTTCATTTTCGCTTTCACAGGGTTATATAAATAAGCCTTCTCCCAGTTTCAGATGCCATTTTGCATTCATTGGATATTCTTGCATGTCTTACAAGGATGTTCCAGCTAGTTTCCATGGGCCATTGTTGTGTAAGGGCTGGCCACAAATATTCCATTTTTCCTCTCTTCTTGCTAAAGAGCCTTTTTTAACTGGTTGTTGTGAAGGCTTTGCACACAGGCTTCTACTATTCCATGACACATTCCATGACAAATACCCGATTTGATCTACAGTTTTAACCATAATTTAAAATTAAAAACATGTAATCAGACACTTTCTCTGCCATGAAACTTAAACACTTGTTCATGAATACAGCGGTAAGTTCAGTGATCTACAACAAACAGAACAGAATTCATCTTTTAGGTGAGCTTTAGAGCTTATATTTCCATGCCAATTGGCATAAAATTGAGGGAAAAGTAGCAGTTTAAACTAAAAGGATCTGAAATGTACTAAAGTGGTCTTTAGCTGATCATGGCAACAACAAAATATTTCTAGTTAACTAAAAGACTTCTTTAGTAACAACAGAAAGCCGTCTAAAATGATGCCAGCTCCCTTGTTACAAACAGGGAAGCTAAAGCAGAGAGGAAAATGTTTGATCACAGCCCTCTGGCAGAACGGTGCCTATCTGGGAGCGGAAACAACTTCTGCCAGGTCCTCATCCTGTCCTTCCCTCCTTTGCATCGCATCAACTCCACAGAGAAAGAAAAAAAAACCTCAAACCACATGAGCGTTGCAAGTTTTGAGGCATACCAAGTGACATGCATTATTTTGCCTTTGTAAGATAGTAAGGTGCCCTTTATGTTGTGTCAGGCTGCTGCACCTCTGCTTGTTGCTGGAAGACCACAGACCTGAAAAAGCCACAAGGGATGAAGGAAAAGACCACCTGCAGGCGTGAGACCTGCTGCCAGGGCTGCGGGCCTGGAGTCAACCTTCACCGTGTCTGCTGGAGGACAGAGAGGCAGGGGCAGAGCACAGCCTAGCGCCTGGCTGGTGCTGGGGCTGAGCTGGGTGCTGGACTGTGAGCTGGAGCAGCTGGGATGGAGGCACACGTGTTTCTGGCTGTGCAAGAGAAACAGTAATTAACCTCCAGCAGAGGGGTAGGGCAGGTACCTGGGACCAGTAATTTTCTCTAACTCTTGCAGCAAAATTTACCTGAGCTCATTTGTCAAGCTTTGAATCCTTAAATCTATAACTCTAATTAATTAAGAATCTCTAATTACCCCAAAATGGTGCTCTATATTTAAGGCTAAGGTGTGGTGAAATCCAGAGAAAACATGAGAGAAGCTGGAGGATGTTCAGAGCTGAAGATGCCAGGAAATTGTGTGTTTTCAGAGATCAAGGTGCACGTAGGTGCAAAGGAAGCCAGATGGCTCAACGTGTCAGCAAGACCCAGGGCAGGTCCTAAACTGCCAGAAGCCACTGTCCAGTATTTGAGCATCCATCCTTGCATGTCCTAAGAAAGCAATGACCATCAAATCTCTCAGCAGGGGGGTTGTACATCAGCGACCCAAAGCCAAGTAACCTTTAGGTTTTAAACGCAAATCTGAGTATTTTCTATACCTGAAGCACATTGGATGAGGCTCTGGTGCTTTACAACCTTGAACGACAAACCCCAGTGGGGGTAGTATGGATTGGTGCAGACAGGTTCTGGCCCTGCCCTCATAGGAGGAAAAAGCCTTTTCACTGTTGAGGTCTTACTATATTAAATTAAAAATTTATAGCTTTTAACTAGGCTGCAACCAGTTAATGTGACTCAGGCAAAGAT